CAGGAGGCCAGGGTTTGATCCCTGGCCAGGGAACCAGATCCTGCATGCTGCAACTAAGACCCGGTGCAGGCAAATAAGTACTTAAAAAAAAAAAAGAACAGGGTATAAAAAGAGACTCCCAGAAACTCCCACCAAGATACATGATTCTCTCCAGATGGTCCCTGTTAATTATCCTTTCTCTTTGTCAAATGGAAACAGTTCCTTCTCTGAAGTAACTTCTGCTATTTGGAGGTCTTGTTGGGCAAAGCAAGTAGAAAACTATTTGCTCTCCAGTTTATACCCTTTACCGCTTTAAAAAAAATTAGAATATAATTGCTTTACAATATTGTGTTCGTTTCTGCAGAAGTGCATCAGCCATATGCCTACATATGTTGCCTCCCTCTTGGACCTCCCTCCAAAAAGACAACCCTCAGAATGGGAGAAAACATTTGCAAATGAAGCACTGGACAAAGGATTCTCCAGAATATACAAACAACTGAGCTGACTTGCCTCTTGAGAAACCTGTATGCAGGTCAGGAAGCAACAGTTAGAACCGGACATGGAACAACAGACTGGTTCCAAATAGGAAGAGGTGTACGTCAAGGCTGTATATTGTCACCCTGCTTATTTAACTTATATGCAGAGTACATCATGAGAAACGCTGGGCTGGAGGAAGCGCAAGCTGGAATCAAGATTGCTGGGAGATATATCAATAACCTCAGATAAGCAGATGACACCACCCTTATGGCAGAAAGTGAAGAACTAAAGATCCTCTTGATGAAAGGGAAAGAGGGAAGCAAAAAATCTGGCTTAAAGCTCAACATTCAGAAAACTAAGATCATGGCATCAGTCCCATCACTTCATGGCAAAGAGATGGGGAAACAGTAGAAAGTGTCAGACTTTATTTTTTGGGGCTCCAAAATCACTGCAGATGGTGACTGAAGCCATGAAATTAAAAGACACTTACTCCTTGGAAGGAAAGTTATGACCAACCTAGACAGCATACTGAAGAGCAGAGACATTACTTTGCCAACAAAGGTCTGTCTATTAAGGCTATGGTTTTTCCAGTGGTCATGTATGGATGTGAGAGTTGGACTATAAGGAAAACTGAGTGCAGAAGAATTGATACTTTTGAACTGTGGTGTTGGAGAAGCCTCTGGAAGAGTCCCTTGGACTGCAAGGAGATCCAACCAGTCCATCCTAAAGGAGATCAGTCCTGGGTGTTCATTGGTAGGACTGATGTTGAAGCTGAAACTCCAATACTTTGGCCACCTGATGCGAAGAGCTGACTCATTTGAAAAGACCCTGATGCTGGGAAAGACTGAGGGCAGGAGGAGAAGGGGATGACAGAGGATGAGATGGTTGGATGGCATCACCAACTCAAGGGACATGAGTTTGGGTGGACTCCGGGAGTTGGTGATGGACAGGGAGGCCTGGCGTGCTGTGGTTGATGGGGTCGCAGAGTCGGACATGACTGAGCAACTGAACTGAACTGATGGAACTCAAAATCAAAGAAAACAATCCACTCAATCCAAAAATGGATGGAAGACCTAAATAGACATCTATCCAAAGAAGACACATAGATGGCCAAGAGCCACCTGAAAAGATGCTCAACATCACTAATTACTAGAGAAATGTAAATCAAAACTACAATGAGGTATCACCTTACACTGGTCAGAATGGCCATCACCAAAAAATCTATAAATAATAAATGCTACAGAGGACATGGAGAAAAAGCGAGAGTCTTGTACTGTTGGGAATGTAAACTGATACAGCTACCGGGAGCTGGTGATGGACAGGGAAGCTTGGTGTGCTGCAGTCCCTGGGGTCACAAAGAGTCGGATATGACTGAGCGACTGAACTGAACTGACTGTTGGGAACAGCATGGAGGTTCCTTAAAAAACTATAAACAGAACTATTGTATGACACAGCAATCCCACTACTGGGCCTATTCCCTGAGAAAATCATAATTCAAAAGGACACATATAAACCCCATTGTACTCTTTACTTCTTAAATACAGAGGGAGATGAAACCAGGAAGTTTGCACCACTTTCTTTTAAAGTTGTTTTACTAGCCTCATAATTTAGTTTTTAACTTAGATGTAGACATTCTAACAGTAATCTCATTTAAGTGTTATTGTTCCCTCTTTAGGTTTGGCACCTGAATCCTGCACCTATTTGTTTACTACAATTTTGACACCAATTACAGTGTGTCAGTTTTCTCCCCCCCATCAGTCAATTCTCAGTTACCAGTTGGGTGTCCTACTGCTTAATTCAGTTCTGACACTATCTACCAGGAGATAGCAACAGATCCCACAGGTTAGGGTTCAGTCCCATCAGGACACCCTCTACTTCAGACACCAATCAGAGATCCCAGTGGTTATCTATGCTTCTAACTGACTGGCTATAAACAAAAGGTTCCCACAACCCCTTCCCAGGGTTTGATTAATTCGTTCATAGTACCCACGGAAACATTTTACTACTAGGTCTCTGGTCTATCATGAAAGGATTTAACTCCTTCAAAGAGTGCCAATTCTTTCCTCGCCTTATGTCTGTTCCACAGTACCTACTTACAACACACCTGACAAAAGTTAATGATTAATTAATGCCACGTTCTCATGATTCTCTTAGACATAAATGAGCCTAGATTCAAGTTGTAAAATTAGGTAGCACCCTCAGGTCTGCAGTATCTTTGAAAATACAAGACCAGCGGCTCTGGTAATAGAATATGCTATCTAGTTTCACAGGGCAAAGTCCTGACAGGACAGTCTGATGAAGCTGTTAACAAGATCAAAAAGGTTCCATATAGCACTGGAGTGTGGAAGACCAACACTGATCAGTGGTAAAAAGAAAACCTGGTATCTGTAACATTATTTAATTCATGACATCGAGGTTAAGAGTGCTAATATGAATTTCATTGTATTAATCTTTTAGTTTTTATTTTATTTGACCATACCTCATGGCCTGCACAGAGAAGGCGATGGCACCCCACTCCAGTGCTCTTGCCTGGAAAATCCCATGGATGGAGGAGCCTGGTAGGCTGCAGTCCATGGGGTCGCAAAGAGTCGGACATGACTGAAGTGACTTAGCAGCAGCAGCATGGCTTACAGGATCTTACCCGACCATGAATTGAACCTGGGCAGCCATCAGTCAAAGTGTGCAGTCCTAACCAGTGGACAGCCACGGAATTCCCTTTGTTCAGAAAAAAAAAAGCTGGGGTACTGAATCTTAATTTCCTACTGGGCCCCATTTCCCCCCTAATCTGGCTACATTATACCATTTTGATGTCTCCCTGACAGTAATTTTCTTGTTGCTATTATGTTATTACTATGTATGCATATTGGATAAATCTTTAGGAACTAGAGAAATGTTTTAATGATTGAAAATAAAAATAAATACATCTTATTACAATTTAGGCAAGCAAGCAGTTGACTCATTTTTAAAATTAAGACTTTAAATATGAACATGCAGAACATTTACATGGCTTAACATTCAACAGATACAAGAGAACATACAACAGAAGTTTCCCTTTCATGCTGGTCCTGGCTATTCAGTTCCTCCTCCCAGAGACAGTTAATGCTATCATTTTCTTTGGATCATCTTCCCGGGGACAAAAGTACTTGTTTTAAATTTAATAAAAGGATATAGGAAGAGCCAAAAGGTAATTTAGGAGACTGTTTTCAGTGTTATGCTGTAAACATTTCAAATTTCAGCAAATCCAGAGAGATATACCCGCGTTGTATATTTCACTACCAAAATGTGGTCAGGACATTCCTGTTCACAAAAGAAGCTGTGCAGTGCTGGACATCTGGTTTTTAAGTGAACACTCGTGAACAACCGCCTCCAATCAGCTCACTGGCTCCACTGCTGGGGTATAGCCTGTAGCTAATGTGTCCACAGCCACAGAGCAAAGAGGGGTCAGACAGGCACTTGTCCTTACAGTTCAGGCCAATTTCACATGACAGTGGCCTGTAAAAATGTACAGAAGAAAAATCATCTCATTCATATGGCACGGCAAAGAACTGAGTCGCAACCATGTGTTGGTTCAGATTCAAAGCTTTTGAGAGAAAAAATACAGGCCAAATAATAACCCTGTCTGGTGGCACTTTTCTAGTCTAATTCTATAGCATAAATTATGGGGTGGAATTTATGAAGATAAAAATTTTAAAAAGAAAAAAAAAGGCTGATATGTTTTATTTTCAATAGCAACATTTACAACAAATGACAAATTATATCCTTAGTAAATATTTAAATTTATTAAACTAGAAATTTTGAATTTCAACTTAAAATTATGTAAGGAGGGGAATCGTTTTTCAAATTCTTTTAGACACACACACACGCCTGAGGATCACTGTTCTAATCTATAAATACTGGACTCCCAATCATCTCCACCCCTGTGGGCGACTTTGAGTGAGCACTCCAATCTGGGCTTAAAGTGGGAGGTGAGGGCGGGGGGAACGACTGATGGGAGGGTGAGACGAAGGAAGGTAGGCAGAATCGAACCCGCAATGAGTATCTGCTGAGGCCTCTGCTCAATGTGGCCTTGTTCCTGGTGGCTGGAACTGCTGCTATCCTGTCCTTTGTTACCAAACTCACCACCAGGTCAGCAAAGGATGAGGGAGCTCTGAGGATCAGGGGCCTTCAACTCACAACCGAATCATCCCAGGTGACCAGCGCAGTTCAGTTCTGTGTTATGACTGAGAAAGTCAGAGCTTTGTCCCTGTTGTTTCTCCCCCTCCCCCTGTACACTGCCTTTAAACCTACTAGAGTGTACCTGGCACTGCTGTGTTCTGCTGACTCCACACACACTTGAAAATGAGTGTTGACTACCAAGTACAGAAATGGTAAAAACTGGTCTGCCAGAGCCGGAGAACCTGGCAGAAAGGGTATTTCCCACTCTTGGTGAGCTGTATGTACATTTTCTCCTCAGGTAGATATGGGGGGAACCAAAGATGCTAAACTTCGTCATCTCACTCTCTCACTTTAAGAAATAATCTCAGACACCACCAAAGTGACACGACTCATTTCTGTGCAGAGTGCCTGCTTTTATTGCCTTTTTTTGAGGGGCTTCTCACACCCTGCTGATTTTAATAACCAGCATTTGTGTCCCATGTTTCACGTCAGTGTCTACGCAGTTGGCCATTTCTCCGCAGCCAGGACTCTAGATGTAGCAGGTTGTTCTCAGGTCTCTGAAGCTTGCTCTGCAGGCGCTGTTTGCTTAGGTCTTATCTCAGAGTGGTGTCGTTCTACAGGGGCTGTTAGGCCTGGCCTGGCTGCTTTTGGCTCTCAGTCTATGGGACTGGCTGAAGCTTGGCCCTTCTTGTTCTCTTTTGTCTTCTCATAGTTATAACTTTTGAGGAGTACTTTTTTCTTGAACACACATGAAGTGGTCTTTTTACCTTCTTATATATCTTCACCACCTGTTAAGGCAATGGTGAGCCCAGAGGTCATTGGTTGGGAGAAGGGTGGGTGGAAAGGGTGGGGGACTAAGGAGGCGGCGTGTGCCAGGCTGGGGCAGGATTATCTCGGGGTGGAGGAGGAGCAGAGGGTATAAATGGGAAAGAAGAGGAGGAGCTTGGGTAGGGTCATCTCACCTTGCCTCCTGATCCAGGCTGAGAGAGGGCCTTCCTTTTCTTCCACCGCTTGGTGCTTGTAGTTTTTGGCTCCCAAGATTTATCGGTCACTTTTGCCATGTTGAAGCCACTCAGTTGTCTACCTGTCTGCCAGGGCTGCCCTCTGTATATATACCTCTCCCCAGGACAATGAGGAGTCACACCTGCTCTGCTCTGTTTGGTCATCAGGACACGCCTGACAGCCAATGGTGGCTCTGGGGAGCTGATACATCATAAAGGACCACTCCTGAGGGACAGAGTGCTGGGGAGGCCCAGATGCCCTGGCTAGAAAAAGTACCCAGTAAAGACCCATTCCTCACTGACCTGCTGCCCCTCCTTATCTCTGCATGTCCTGGTTGTACACAAGGCAGAGAGGGTGTTTTCTCTAAGTCATTCCCCATGGTTCATTCTACCGACTCCCACCCTTTACTGTCAACTAGCATTTGGATATCTTACCTAAAACTAGCAAGATATAGGTATGGCAGCCTGATGTGAAACACCCAGGAATTAGGGAATTGGAGGAAAGTGTTTGAAGCCTGGTGTCCTTCATTGTCAGTCCAGACAAGAAGGCTTTGAAATACAACTCAGGACAAGATGGGTGTGTGTGCATGTGTGTGCACACTAGGGTCACTCATTCCCCCAAAATAAGATTAAAGTTATAAAATAAGATTAAATGAGGTATCTATCTACCTACCTACCTATGTTTATGGGTACTGCATGTGAATACCTTTGGAGATCGGATGGAAATTCTTGTAATAAAATTAATCTTCAAAGAATCAGGGATTTTTAACTTCAAATTTTGGGATGGCCTATAAGCAGAGATCAGAAGTAGAAGCCTCCCCAGACCAGAGCTTACCTTCCTCCCTGTCTGTACCGTCCCCTCTACCTACAGCGATAATGACAAATCTATGGACAGAAGGTAGATTAGTGATTGATTAGGGTTGGCAGCAGAGTGGGAGAAATAGGAGGTGACTGCTAATGGTATGTGGTTTCTCTGGGGTGATGAAAATGTTCTGCAATTAGATTGTTGGGATGGTTACACACTTTGTGAGTAGGCTAAAAATCACTGAATTGTTAATATGCTAAAAATCTCTAGAGTATGATTTATATTAAAATATGACTTTAACCACAATTCTGATTCAAATTAGCTGACTGATAATGCATATTTATCTCTTTCCCCTCAAGAGGCCATAACACAATGACAATAAAAATTTATAAACCACAACATGAAGAGAATGGTGGAGGTCATACATGCCTGAGAGAGTAAAATTTCTAGAAAAAGGAAAACTTGTGGAGACCTTAGCTACTGAAACAAGAGAGCAGGGAACAGTGCAGCAGAGAAAAGCAGAGTGTCATCGAGGAGACAGCCACTCCTTTCTGCAGAACCTGGAAGTATCTCAGTATGCGGTAGTTTAATCACTAAGTCATGTCCTGCTCTTGTGAACCCATGGACTGTAGCCCGCCAAGCTCCTCTGTCCATAGGATTTCTCAGGTAAGAATGCTGGAGTGGGTTGCCATTTCCTTCTCCAGGGGATCTTCCTGACCCAGGGACTGAACCTCTGTCTCTTGCATTGCAGGCAGATTCTTTACCAATTGAGCCAGCAGGGAAGCCCAGTGAATATAAGTAGCCAGGAACTCAGAAGGATGATCTTGATACTCCTCTACAAGCTATGTAAATGGTTTAGGAATGCGGGAGGAGGGAGAGACTAGGGCAGTAATCTGGTTTTTAATTATTTTGGTTACTATTATTATTGCAGAAGAGGCCTGTCCACCTGGAGCTAGTGTTCCTTTAAGATCCAGGAGAATAAATCGGCAGTTTATAGGAACAGACTGAAATGCCTCATTAAAAAGGTTTTAGTGACTGGCACATCCCAAGACAAAATTTGCCTTCACATGGAAAACTTGGTCTACTGCATCAAATAAATTTTTTAATTTTTTTATTTTTTTTGGTCTACTGCATCAAATAAATTTAAGTCTTGCTACAGTTTCATTTTCTTTTACAGATTAAAAGAGGTCCAGGCAGCCATGCCAAATTAAATTTTAAAATTCCAACAAAAGAAATTAGCCTTATTTGTCAAGTTTCTAGATGGTAAAACTACATACAATGGGTGGGAATAACATGGGGAAAATGTTTGGTTCAGTTAAAAGAAATAACTTCCTAACCATTGGGGGAATTCAAAAGGAGAACAGACTACTCTGTGAGGTAACAAATCTCCATTCATTGAGAACCTATGTACTGACTGATGTTATTATATAAAACCACCATTAAGACTCGAAGCTCCACTCAAGGTTATTTTCAGTATATGCTGGGGAAAAGTTTTTGTTTTGTCTTAAAGTCCTTCTGAGTTCTCTACCAAGCAATCACTCTTTAGTTTCCCAAAGACTTGTCTGCTAGTACCTAGACTCAACTTTGCTGGTCACCCCCTAGAACCGGGGGTAGAGTCCTCACAATAGAAGCTATCCCCTCACAATCATGCCAGAGGAGGTATGAGAGGGGCAAGCCTTCTTAAAAGAAAAAAAAAAAAAGTTTTTTTTATTTTAAGTTGAATGGTTTTATTGAGCATAACAATATTTTAAAAAAAATTTTCCCTTGTTTGTGCTTCTGTATGTGTGGTAAAATGCCTTCAAAAGGGATATTCTCTGGGAGTAAGTTGCTATAGTGTAGTACACAACCAGAATGTTTCTCTGCCTTTTTTCTCCATGGCATTGACTTTTTTTTTTTTTTTTTACAAGACCAAGTCTGTTATCTTGTAGAATAATCTGCATTTTAAAAGTTTCTTTGTGACTTCATTTAAGATGGTCACTTCCTCAATAAGACCTAGGAGAAACTCTGAAATTACTTTCCTCAAGGGTTTGATTAAATTCTCAAAAGATTAATTTCTTTCCAGGCTTGGTCTGGGGGTTCAGGGGCTATGGTAGTTCTAGGGATAAAAAGATAAACCAGATACATTCACTTTTCTAAGATGCTGATGAAGTAAGATCAGCCCAGTGACCTGGCTTTAACATACATTCAGTGATTTCTGTGGTCTATTTTCTCCACCTCTACTGCACTCATCAATCTGGGTTTCCCTTCTTCCATTTTTAAACCCCAGCAAACAATTTCTCACACAGTTGTGAGTGAGGCGTTACGAAATTAGATCCCCCAGTTTTTTTTTTAAACAGGGTTTGTGAGGTCTAGTCCTTAACTACTTTTCGAACCTCAGCCTGTCCTCATTATATTTATTCAGTCACACAAATATTTCTGCAGTGCCTATTATTTAATTTAAAATACATTGTTCTATATCATTTTTTTAAAACTTTATTTTCTTTGTTGCTGCACTTGGGCTTTCTCTAGTTGTGGTGAGTGGAGGCTACTCTGTTGTAGCGTGCAGCCTTCTCACTGCAGGGGCTTTTCTTGTTGCAGAGCATAGGCTCTAGGCACGTGGGCTCTGCAGCTGTGGTGTGTGGGCTCTAGGGTGTGTGGGTTTCCGTAGTTGAGGCACACAGGCACACGGGCTTAGCTGCTTCGTGGTCTGTGGAATCTTCTCATACCCGGGACTGAATTCATGTCCCCTGCACTGGCAGGCAGCTTCTTAACCCACTGCTATACCAGAGAAGTCCTAAAATACACTGTTTTAGACAAAAGAGAAAGATCTTTTCCTCATGGAACTTAATGTCCTTTTGTTCCTTGAACAAGCCCAGCTCCCTCCTGAGCCCATCTCAAGGGCTTTTGCCCAAGTTCTTCCCTGCCTAGAATGCTTTTCTTTTCACTTCCCGTTCCTTTTCTGACTGTTCTATTTAAAGTAGTTTCTCTACTTGTGCCGTGGAACTCCATTTGCTTCTTTCATAGCTCATACCAGGGAGTGCGTGCGCGCGTGTGTATAAAGAGGTTTCTTTGTGTGTAATACATCTATTCTGAAAAGCTGGATCACGTTCACCTACTTTGCCAGGCAGAAGAGCCTGGTGGGCTACAGTCCGTGGGGTAGCAAAAAGAGTCGGACATGACTTAGCGACTAAATAACAAATACACTTAAAACTTTTCATAATGACTATCAGCATATCATAGGGGTTCAATAAGCACTGGCTAAAAGAATAAATTGTGACTTTATTCCAGTTGTGACTTTATCCCAAAGGGGATCCAATGCTATCCCCTTTCTATATGGTGCTAATTTTTATAACAAGGTAAGCATATAAAAGGTATACATAGTTTCAAATATTTATCAGCTTACAGCAATATGATTATAAGTCACAGGTGAGAGAAAAAATAACCAGATACTAAACTGGACAAACAGGTTTTTGAGTCCAAAGGTAGCAAAAGTGTAATTAAATGAAAAGAGAGCAAGACCAAAAATTGTTAAAAGAACTGGGGTAAAAGCAGAGAAAGGGAAGTCTCTTAATGAGACCAGAGGACATTATATCTTTCACCAAGTAGATACAGGTTGCAGACTGCTGTGCTAGTCACAAACGAGGGGACCACATTAGAGACGATAGATATAGTCTTAGATTACAATTACCCTGTGGGAAAGCAAGTTCAGGTATAGGCCCTATGATCATAGGTCAGTAGCATATTTTTTTATTCCTATCACGTAAATTCCTTTTCATCCTGCTAACGTTACACAGTGAATATAAAATATACATTCACAAAATACAGAACTTCCAGGCTAGACATAAGAATCAGAGATTTAAAACATCAAAAGTCAGGCTACCCTGGTGGTCCAGTGGTTAAGAATTCGCCTTGCAATGCAAGGAACATTGGTTCAATCCCTGGCACGGGAAGATCCCACATGCCAGGAAGCAACTAAGTCCCTAAGTTACAACTACTGAGCCTGCACTCTAGAGCCCACGCCCGCAACTACTGAAGCCCGTGGGCTTAGAGCCTGTGCTCCCCGACAGGAGAGGTCACCACAATAAGCTTGCACACCACAACAAAGAGTAGACCCTGCTCCTAGCAACTAGGGAAAACTTGATAAAACTAGTGCAACAACAAAGATCCACCACACCCCACTAATCTTAAAAAAAAAATAAAATCAAAGTTCTATATTCTTTGATGGAGTAAACTGCATAATTATTGTATAATGGGCTTTCACATAAGAATTCATTTGAAGAAAGAATTCTTTTAGAAAGTCTGAAAACTACTTGTCTAAAGGACAGTAGAACTATTACAATAATACAGATTTTTTAAAAAATTAGCATTTCAAAGTGCTATTATTGATTTGCATAAATAAGGCCAAAAATTGCCAAATATTCCATGTCCTATAAAGACCTAAAATGCCCCAAATATAATATACATAATATACTTTGTACTGACATAACATTAATCAACGTATTGCTGACTTTTGGATCTTGCCGACCTATAAACAGGCTTCAAACGCATAATTTGAATTTAGGGTATCATTCCTGACCTTAAAAACTGTGTTTTGGAACCTCAGGCAAGTGACTAACACATGTCATATATCAAAAGGACTGGTTGTCCTTAATAGTTGAAGATTATGTAGCTAGAATGAGGCATGTTTTACCTGTTGTACTCCTTGCAATTATGATATACTATTAAACTCTTCACAGTTATGACTTCTTTTGGTAGGATCCTGTTTCTGATTTTAGTTCCACTTCTGCCTAATGGGATTAAATACTTTTCTTAAATGTAATTTTTCCCCCTAAAACTGCTGCAAAATTATCACCCTATCTGTTCTGAGCTACAGGTAAGTACTTCCTAAGTCCTTCTGCCTTTAACATAAACTATACCAAACACAAATGAAAAAAAGTTATTTGCAAAGTTTAATGTTTTAAAGAAGTACTGGAAGTCAATAAATCAATTCAACATAAGAAATTATTGAATCCTGAGGCTGAATAATTATAGGATATAAATAATTTGAAATCTTAAATATAAACCAACTCTTCTATTGCTTCTCATAATCTAATCAGGGCCTCTAAATGTTTTTAAAATAAACTTTTATTGGAGGACAGCTGTTTCACAAAGTGTTAGTTTCTGCTGTCCAACAAAGTGAACCAGCTACATGTATATGTATATCTGCCCTTTTTTGGATTTCCTTCCCATTCAGTGCACCACAGAGAACACTGAGAAAGTTCTACATAGTAAGTTGTTATTAGTTATCTGTTTTACACGCAGTAGTGTATAGAGCCCCTCAACTTCCTGATCACATAGCATGTACTCATGTTCTAGGGTTGCTGTAACAAAGTGAAGTAGGGGCCCACTCTGTTCTAATACGGAGGCTTTCCTGGTGACTCATATGGTAAAGAATCTGCCGGCAATGCAGGAGACTCGGGTTCAATCCCTGGGTAGGGAAAATTCCCTGGAGAAGGCAATGGCCATCCACACTAGTATTCTTGCCTGGAGAATTCCATGGACAGAGAAGCGTGATGGCTACAGTCCACCGGGTTGCAAAGTCGCACGACTGCGTGACTAACACTATCACTACTCTAATATGACCTCATCTTGACTAGTTACATCAGTAATGACTCTATTTTCAATTGAGGTCACATTCTGAAATACTAGAGGTTAGGATTTCAATATAAATTCTGTGTGTGTGGGGGGGGAGGGACACAATTCAGCCTCTAACACACTGTAATACATATATATTTATGTATTTAGAAATTATTTACATTCAGTACTGCAGTAAGAATTATAGACACTGTAGTCCCTATACAGTTAGAAAATTTAAAAAGACAAGACAAAGATAAAATATACATATTAGTAGTAACATTTCCTTTATGAACCCTAACATGTTGTGTTGCACAATCTGTGGACTATACACAGCTCACCAATTACAAGAACAGTATCATCGTGGCTTGGTACATCCTACCTTCTAACATCTTCCCTCTGCTTACTTAGCCTGTCTCTTCTGTCACCTACCACATACATGGCATTCCAACCAATCTGAAGTATTTGCATGAGCTAGGCCCTTTCTCTGTTCAACAACTCTGTACACGCTGTTTCCTATTGTTGAAATGTGCTCATTCTCTTCACTTCACATGAACACACAGTGAACTCCCAATCATTTTCTGAAATTCAGCTCAAATGTCATCTCTGGAAAGCTTTCACAGACTGTTCTGGGCAGCACAAAGCACTTTTTCAGGGCACGTTGTTCAAATCTCTATTATTGTAAATTCCTATTTGATATACATGTAACACACACACACATATATTTAGATTGAACTGATATTTGAACATTTTGACCTAAAAAAAGATGTAATTTCATGTGGTTCAACTTAATACTTGACAACAAATCCACTGAGAGTATGGAATGTATTTTTCATTTTTATATTTCCAGTGACTATAATGGAGTTTGACAAAAGCATATATATCCTTAGTACATGCTTCTCGAAATTAAGGAAAGGCTTACACACACCTTCCATTTTCAGATATTCCTGTTCAAGAATGGGTAGATATTGACTTGATCCTTCCTATAGGTTTCATTGGCTTTATTTAGTTTAACAGTATTTTAAATTACTTCCCCTTGCTTTTGTATCTCTGTATATGGAGAAATCTCTTCAAAACAGACACTCATTTTTTAAAAACAGAAGAAGCTATATAAGTTTTGTTTGCAACCAATATAAAAACATTTCACAACTTTACTGTTTTACTTACAAAATATTTTTATGCTTTTGAAAAAATATTTAATTATAAAAAGGAATATAAACAGGAGAGCTATATAAAGATATCAGTTGTATAAAGTAAGTGTGGTATTTTTAATCCAACAATATTTTAGTAAAAGCTAATATAAATCTAATTTTAGAATGTCAAATTTTTCATAATATTATTTGGTTTATAGAAAAGCTGTGATAACTGAAATAACATTTAAGTATTACATGGAGAGTTAAAAGGCAAGGTATGGAGAAGTGTTCAGCTACAGTTAGGAAGCAAGACATGGTGAAGCCTGGGAGAAACTAGCAGGAAGTGTGAGACACAGATGAACATTTTCCATGCTTCCTCATTAAGCACTTAAGTTAACAAAATGCATGCAGTGAGTCTTCAGCATGCCAAGGCAGTCAAGAGCAACACAGTTCAGAGTCTGGCTCTCATCCACTGTAGAGACTCTTCTCCTTTTATGGCACTTCATGTTCCTTATACTCATATTACAAAAAACTTGTTGCAGAGAAAACCACATTAAACATGTCATTATTTCATGTCTTCTAAGTGCTCTTTCCTCAGCCTCAAGTCTTTTTCCATCCTTTTGCCTTCTAGTTTTTAAAAATTCAGCTCAAATATCATCATCTCTGGATTTTCTCCCTCACTTCTCCAGCTAGAGTTGATGATCTGTCTTTTGCATTTTCACTGTATCTAGTGCATGCCATCATTGCATTATTCTAACCACAGTGTGATAATTTAACTGTTGACATCTATTTTCTCAATTATATTATCACACAGTGCTGGGTACACTAGATACTTACTGCCATTTGTTACATAAATAAACTAGTAAGAAATGAAGTGAGAGTCTGGAATAACAAAGCACTGATGAAAAGCTTATTTGGAAACAGAAATTGTGACTACAGAGTGAAGTCTGCCTTGTCTATTGCTATATTCCTAGCATTTAAGTCTACTGCTTGGTACCATGTGGGTGCTTTGGAGGTTCTAGCAGGGGACTGTAACTACTCACATACCCCTGACCAAAGAACAGTCTTCCTTACTAGGGAAGGTTGTCCTCTTTGACTGAGTGTGCAGCTTTGGGAGGGACACACATGGAGAGGTGAGGTGGGAAGTGGACACTTGCCTAGCTAGTCAGATCAGCTGAAACAACCTTGGCAATTAAAGGAGTGACAGATGTTGCAGCCAGACTGCCTTCAGAGCCTGTAAGTATTCACTAACTAAATACTTAATATACATGGAAAATAAGAAAAAGCAGACTAATAATGGAAGATAATTGAAGAAAGGCATCCATAAACAAGTAGTAAGAGAAGCACCTCTAGTTTAAGAGATAGTTATATCAAGGAATAAAGAAGCTGTAAAAAATAATAAGATCATTGGTTAGCAAAAATTTTTTTAAAAAAATTACTAAATATAAATATGAACAAATACTGGGGAAAGAGTCAATGTAAGTTCATGTAAATATGATTTATGCTTTCAATTAGAGTGGTCAAAAACATCAGAATGCCCACATAAATAAAAATAACACTGTTCTTTACATCTGCAAAAAATTCCGTATCTTTTGCCATTAATGCATTTATGTTTTCCTGCTTAATGCCTCTACTTTAGGCATCAAAAGTGGTACTTAATCTCCAAACGGAGTTGGTTGTTCATTTACAAGCCTACCATACCACTCATGTCTGACTCTTTGCAACCCAGGGACTGTAGCCCACCAGGCTCCTCTGTCCATGGAATTCTCTAGGCATGAACACTGGAGTGGGTAGCCATTCCCTTCTCCAGGGGATCTTCCCAACCCAGGGATTGAATCCAGGTCTCCCACACTGTGGGCTGATTCTTTACTATCTCAGCCACCAAGGAAGCCCATGACAGCCTACCTGTACTTTATACTGGTGCTGCATTATTTTAGGCTTGCTTTCCTAAGATATACTGAAGTACTTAACTTGGTATCATCATCAAACAATATTTAAGAGGACCGGTGTACCTCTAATACTGAAGCCCATGTACTGACAGTCCACTGTGAAGAAACAGAAGTCACTGAATGTCTTTATCACTAAACTTTTCACATATCAAGGTAATGGGCAAGCTATGCTGGTAGAGTTTGTAAACTCAGATGGCAAGATAAAGACTACAGGACAAACTCCACCCAAGGTTACAAGAATTATACACATGGAAAGCTTACCCTCTTTGCTTGGCACGTGGACTTGTTCATTTATGTTGACAAGGTTTCATGCCTTGGTATTCAGGGTTTCCAGGTACCTGGTTTGTACCTTCTTTTTCTGTCCTCTTTCACTAACTCCCAGTGACATTATTTTAGAACTTAAGTGTTTTCTACTTACTGGAATCAAACACAGGGATGAAACATGTGAAAGACTAGGATTAAAATCCTAAAAATAGCAATTATACTAGACTTAATTAAAGCTTGTGTTGGATTTAAAAGTTAACATTAAAGTGGGCATTTTATGTTTTTTTATTTTTATTTTAGTTGTTTTAGTTATGCATCTATTTTTCAGTCTAATGGTGCACAGAAGCAATAGTTCATCTGACGGGAATCAAGAAAAGCCAGCAGTGGCATCTGAGGCAATATACCTGTTGCTTCATGGCTCTGTTCATTAAATATTCAGAAAAGGTTTTCAAATTAGAATCTGTGAAACTAAAAAGTAAAATCACTTTATGGCAGTCAAAGTTTTGCAATTTTCTAGCTCTACTGACATATGCAGTATTAGCACAAAACTGCTCTGCTGTGGGTCATCTCTTCTGGGAATCTGTTAGACCTGCTTCAGGATGTTTGGGTCACCCAGACTCTGTTACTGAATCATAAAGTGTCTTGAGAGTTCAAGTCACTGTTTTTATAAATCTGTTTGTCCACACCCTCTCCCACTCTCACTCCTTCTCCTATAAATATTCTTGGCCTAGTATGAGATAAAAGCACTTGTGTCTACCAGCAACCAAAAAAACACTGCATCTTCCCCGAATGCGTTATTTCCTAAACATTTAAGTAACTGAAATTTCTAAAATGGCATGACCAATCTTTAGATTTAAAAGACTTTTAAAAAGATGTTTTAAGACTTCTGTTTCCTCTTATAAGAGGATACATTAGAAAATCAGTTCAGTGTCAGAATGAATGGGGAATTCCAGTTCAGTTTTCAAAAACACCTTGTAAGGATTTTCAAAACACAGGCTGACATGAAATGTTCACAAACATGAGGCTTACACAAGATACTAAATAAACATCATCTCCCTACCTACAGTGATGGTCTGAAAGTATGGCTGAAACTTATGAAGCAGAGCAGTTACTCTAGAGGTGAGGTTTTCCTGTTCAAGAGCAAAGTAAAGGATAAGTGGCAAAGGAAACTCAAGAACTGGATACAGGGTTGGGTTTCCAATCTAGAAATTCTGAGTTTATCAACTTTCTTTACACCTCTTTGCCACACTTAGTTTTCAAGATTATAATATATACCTAATGCTCTACCCACTAATTCTTAGCTAAAAAGTTCCCGCTTTTCAGAAAACTGACTAGTACTACAAAACTTATGCTTTTCTTTTCAGAGATTTACAACACTGAGTAAGGCTCCTGTCATACATTTTACAAGCTTCCTACCCTTTTCTTAAAAATAAGCACCAAAATGATCTGATGTCTTTCCAAACAAAAATTCTGGCAACAAAATTAATCTCCCAAGAGACGTTATGGATGGTTTTGTTACTCTATTTGGCCCCTTTTATTCTTTCTACATTCTTCCTGCTTGGTGGTGGCTGCTGGCTCTCCCAATGAAGCCTTTAAACAGAGGGCACTCTCTCATCTACAATTATCAGCTTCCCCCAAATGTAAGAACATACTCAAACTGGAAAGACTATGATTGGGCAAGCAGTTAAGCCATATTTGTTATAAAATGATATTCATGGTTAAGAGTTCAACTCGCCTACAATGTTGAGTTAGTAAACTATGGGCTGAAAGTTTTACATTTTGATAGTTAAGGGTCTTTCTTTTTCCTCACATCCAAGTTTCAGGCAGGAGAGAAAGGGGGAAGGGGAAAGAGGCTAAATGCCCTCTCATACTCTTAAATAGCTGTCCTGAAAGCCTTGTCCAGACTTCCAAAACATCACTGTATCCCTAGGAATAAGGAAGGTTGGGCAGTCTATGCTTTTTTTCCCCCAAACTAGGCACATTGCACCTGAATGAAATGAGGTTAGGGTAGAAAGGAAAAAGGGGGAACAAATACTAGCCATCTCTACTACAGACATACTGAATTTGAGGTGCTTTTGACATACCTGTGGAAGATGCTGAAGTGGTTAGGTCACAAACACAAGAGGACCAGGAGGTTTACAGATATACATTGGGAAGCTGTTACTATAAAAATAATTTATCAACATTATGGCTGTTTTTGTCCCTTGGACTGCAAAGAGATCAGATCAGTCCATCCTAAAGGAAATTACCCCTGAAAATTCATTGGAAAGACTGAGGCTGAAGCTGAAGCTCCAATATTTTGGCCACCTGATGCGAAGAGCCCACTAATTAGAAAAGACCATGACACTGGGAAAGACTGAAAGCAGGAGGAGAAGGGGACGACAGGGGCAGGATGGTTGGACGGCATCACCGACTCAATGGACCTGAGTTTGAGCAAGCTCCAGGAGATGGTGAAGGACAGGGAAGCCTGGCATGATCCACTTCATGGGGTCTCAAAGAGTCGGACACGACTGAGTGACTAAACAACAAGAAGGAAGAGGAACAATGTGAGGAAAAAAAGACCCTCAAATTGAAACTTGAGACTCTCTAGAAGAGGCACCTATACACTATCATGAGAAGGAGCTGATATAATGAGCCTAAAATGTTCTTGAGAAACACAAGTGAATAGTGGCAGTTCAATTTGAATGAAACTAAGATCATGGCATCTGGTCCCATCACTTCATGGGAAATAGATGGGGAAACAGTGCAAACAGTGACAGACTTTATTTTGGGGGGCTCCAAAATCACTGCAGATGGTGACTGTAGCCATGAAATTAAAAGATGCTTGCTCCTTGGAAGAAAAGTTACGACCAACCCAGACAGCATATTAAAAAGCAGAGACATTACTTTCCCAACAAAGGTCTGTCTAGTCAAAGCTATGGTTTTTCCAGTAGTTATGTATGGATGTGAGAGTTGGACTATTAAGAAAGCTGAGTGCCAAAGAACTGATGCTTTTGAACTGTGGTGTTGGAGAAGAGTCTTGAGAGTCCCTCGGACTGCAAAGAGACCCAACCAGTCCATCCTAAAGGAAATCAATCCTGAATGTTCATTGGAAGGACTGATGCTGAAGCTGAAGCTCCAATACTTTGGCCACCTGATGCGAAGGGCTGACTCATTTGAAAAGACCCTGATGCTGGGAAAGACTGAAGGCGGGAGGAGCAGGGGATGACAGAGGATGAGATGGTTGAATGGCATCACCGACTCAATGGACATGAGTTTGAGTAAACTCTGGGAGTTGGTGACGGACAGGGAGGCCTGGTGTGCTGCAGTCCATGGGGTTGCAGAGTCGGACACGGCTGAGTTACTGAACTGAACTGAACTGAGTTTGAATGGTAATTCTCTCCTGATGTCCCCATACCCATTCTCTATTTATTAAAAAATTTTATTGTGGATACTAAGAAAGTGAAACTTGTGAAAGTGTTAGTCACTCAATCATATCTGAGACCTCATAGACTATAGCCCTCCAGGCTCCTCTGTCCAAGGAATTCTCTAGGCAAGAATACTGAAGTGGATAGCCATTCCCTCCTCCAGGGGATCTTCCCAATCCAGTGATCGAACCCAGGTCTCCTGCATCACAGGAAAATTCTTTAGCGTCTAAGCCACCAGGGAGTTGTATATTATCCAGCTAAACAAATGCTGTTTGGGTATTTTAACTTTTTCATGTAATCCAATCTCATAATAATTGTCTTTTTTTTTTAAACAGTTATTTTATTTATATATGCAACAACTCTACTTATAACATATGGTATATCTCAACCCTGGGACCTCAAATAGGTTCTTTCCTACTTCTTAAATTTAAGAATGATTATAATCAGGGTGAGGGAAAGGATTTACATAATCATCACAGAGCCTAGTGTTGATGGATGCCTGAGAAATTAATAGTGAATCTGTAGTTCAATGTGTTCTCTTGTCATATATTTATATGGATGCAAACTTGGTAACAATCTTATTTGTCAATGGAAAAGGCAATAATGTAATGCTATACAGCTTAACAAGTTCCCTGTTCTGTAGTTAATTCCAATAGTTCTTTTAACAGGTTAGGTGTGGATGGATGCAATGCTTGTCAATAGTTTTTTTTTTTTTTTTTTTTTTTTTACGTCAGTAGTATAACGGAAGGCTTTCAGATGAATACAAAGAAACTGGTCTTAGATATTTTATTTTGTTCCAGTTCAAAAAACTTTTTGAAGTTTATTCAGAGTTGCTTAACTCTGAAGATTCTGAAGATAGCTACAGAAGGATCAAAATTGACCCTCATAGTCCTGGTTACTACTCTATTATCCAAATAGACCTTTTCTCCTAAAAGACAAAACTATGTCAGTATTTTTCTTCAGAGTCCTGACCGTCCTTATATGAGGTAAACATCCATAAAATCTCATGGTATAAGCTTGGCATTGTTTGACCTATTCAGATCTGCAGCTAGAGCTATTCTGCACTTTTGGAAATGAGTTACAGAAAGGTATTCTGAGTTGTATAAATTTTCAATGCATCAGTGTGCTAATACACTGAGGAAGAGTGAAACATTTACTAAGAAACTCACTATGACTGAAATGCAATGTAGGTATACCCAGATTCATCAGAAAGCTAAAATTTTTTACTTCTTTGTGTATATACCATTGCATCATCATAGAACTATTCTATCAGTTCCTGGCGAACAACTAAGTTGGTTAATCAAAATTCAGGCTGAGTCATTAATTGATTTATCCATTCAATAAACATTTGGTGAGTGTCTAATGCATATAAGGCATTTTGCTAGAGTCACAACCCAGAGTACTAAACACTATATGATCATGATATTGCTAAATGACAGAGATACACTGGTGAATAAAAGTGAATAAGAAAGACATGGTCCTTGTTCCCAGAGAGCTTACTGTTTACTGAAGGAGACAGATGATAAAAAGGTAACAATTGTAAAATAATTATAATCTGTGATAGAAAAAAAGAGAATGCTTTGTCAGAGAATAATGAAAAGAGGAAGGCCTGTCATGACATCTGAAAGAAGAGAGTTGGGGTGGGAGGGAGGAAGCATTCCAGGGAAGCAAACAGCCTCGGCCAAGGGTCTGAGGCAGGACTGGGAATGATCAGGGATCACAAAGTCGTGTGACTGATGCAGCAGG